TGTTTGTTTGTTGTCTTGTTTGTTTGTTTGTTTGTTTCTGTTTTTGGTTTTTGGATTTTCAAAACAGTGTTTCTTTGTGTTGCCCTGGCAGTCCTGGTCACTCTGTGGACCAGGCTGGGCTTGAACACAAAGATCTGCCTGCCTCTGCCTCCTGAGTGCTGGGAGCTATGGGCCATGACCATCTACCTTGTTTGTTTTTTGTTTTGTTTTGGGATTTTTTTTTTTTTTGTACTTGGGTTTATAAGGTTTAGGTAAACCTAAGTAAGCTAGAAATAGAGACATATCACATGATGTTTCTAGAAGCAGCTGCAAGGCATGGCTGCATATATTTTCTTCTATATTATTTCCAGTGCCACTTGCTTTTTGGACACCATGAGTTTGCCGTTGGGAGGTGTAAGTTTTCCCTTATTGGTCTCCAAATTCTATATAAGTCTCAACATAAGCAAGGATACTAAAGATACATGAGCTTTGCAAAATCATGGCCTAATTCCTTCCTTCCTTTCTTCCTTCCTTTCTTCCTTCCTTTCTTCCTCCCTCCCTCTCTTCCTCCCTCCTTTCTTTCTTTCTTTTTTCTTTCTTTCTTTCTTCCTCTCTTTCTCTTTCTTCTGTCCTTCCTTCCTTTCCCTCTTCATTGAAATAAATGTCTTACAATGTATTTTGATATTTTCCCTCCCAGATCCTTCTCACCTCACTACCTATCCAATTTTATGTTCTTTTTTCTTTTAAACAACAACAAAACAAGAAACACACACACACAAGGCCAAGAAGAAAAAAAAAAGCCCAAATGAGTTTACAAAACAAGTTTACAAGAGTATCATATAGTTTGTTTTATGTTAGCTAACTATTCTTGTGCTTGGGGTGGGGCTTGCCATGGTTAATATACTCAGTGAAACTCCATTGGAGAAAGCTGATTTTTTTTTTCTTCACTGGTGGGTGTCTATTAGAGATAGCTTCTTGGTTAGGGTTGGAGCCTGCATCTTCCCTATGGTGCTGAGATTCCCTCTGGACTGAACTGCACAGGTCTTGTCACACCACCACAGCCTCTGATAACTCGTGTGTTCATCAGTCCTGTTGTGTGTGACCATCACCATGTCTCTTACAACCTTTCTATCTCCTCCACGTGGATCTCTGAGGGGAGGACTTTGAGGAAAATACCTTGCTTAAGACCGAGTGTTCCAAAGTCTCTTACTCTCTTCACAATGTCCATTTGTGAATGAAACACTCATCTATCGGTATAGCAGAATGTCCTTGGGAGTCATTTTATCGTTATGTTCCTTTAGCAGAATAGCAGTCTTAGGTTTTCCCCTAGTGTCATGACCTATCTATTCTCGGGTTCTTGGACACTTTAGCAGTGTTAGTTATGGACTCTATATCATGGAGTGAGCCTTAAATTCATTCAGAAAGTAGTTGGTTGCTCTCACCTTCCTTGAAGTTGGTCAGGTTCCAATTCCTAGAACTTGTGAATACACAGTAAGTGGACTTCAGGTTGCAGATGGAATTAAGGCTCCTGATAAGCTGACCTAAAGAGAAGAAGAATATTTAGGGTGATCTGGGACATCACAATGGAGTCACAAGGGTCCTTGTAGAGGTAGGCAGAATAGAAATTAGAGTCAAAGGAAGAGATAGATTCTCAGAAAGTCAAGGCAGTGATCTGAGTAAAACTCAGCGTACATTCTGCAGCTATGAAGAATGCCCTGGAAGCCATGAAAAGACAGAAGTGGGTTCTTCCTTAGATCCTTCTCCTCCAGAAGGAACTCTGCCTATTCTCTTTACACTTGGGCTTTAGCTTAGTATGACCCATTCCATACTTCTAATTTCCAGAACTGCAAGATAATTTTCTGCTGTTTTAGGAGCTGCATTTTGCGTGATATACTACTGCAGCAACAAAACTGCACATTCTAAATCTGTCCCCTCCAATGCACGAAGACATCAGGGCACAGGATCCAAAAAACAAGACCAGAGCACTTAATCGGCTGCTGGTTTGCTATTCAGCAACAAGGAAACTCTTTAAAAAATTTTGTTTATTTATTATATGTACAGTACTCTGCCTGCATCAACACCAGAAGAGGGTACCCAATCTCTTTATAGATGGTTGTGAGACATCATGTGGTTTCTGGGAATTGAATGCAGGACCTTTGGAAGAGCAGTCAGTGTTCTTAGTCTCTGAGCCATCTCTCCAGCCTTGGGGAAACTCTTAATAACAGGGATGTAATTAAGAAACCCCTTGCATCTCTCTCACATAAAGGGTGGCCAGTTCACACCTAGAATGGTATCTTCACACTGGCCTGGAGAGATGCTCCGGAAGTTTAGAGCACTTTCTGTTCTTCCAGAGGACCTGAGTTCAGTTCCCAGCACCCAAGTCAGGAGATGCACAACTGCCTGTGACTTTAGTTCTAGGGCATCTATCACATTTTTCTAATCTACATGTACGTACATGTGCAAATAAACACACAGCAGACACATAACATTTTTAAAAATGAATCTATTTTTAAAAGAAAAGGGTACAACCCTAAAACTTAAAAAGAAAAAAAAAGTGTGGATTCTTTCTACTCATCCTGGAATATTCAAGACGGCCAGAAGCAGCAGAGAAATGACATCGAGGGCTAACCCTTCCATCAAGGACATCACTAGTTGTGTTTCATTGGCCAAAACTTAGATAATCATATCTAGCTGCAAAGGAGGCTAAAAAATAGATCATTTAACAGACAGTGCCTCGCTAAGGTCTGGGTTCCCTGTCATCTGTGAAACAGGAAGACTGTGGGCGTAGGAAATGGTAAGTTGGTAAAGCGCTTGCCATGTGAGCATGGAGTCCTGAGTCTGATCTCCCAGAGCCCATCTGGAAGCACTGGTTACAAGAGCACTGACCTGTAATTCCCTGACTGGGAAGGCTCAGGGGACAGCCAGCCTAGAACAATCAGCTCTGTATTCATTGAGAGATTCTGACTCAAAAAATAAGGTAAAGAGCAGTTGACACTGACCTCTGGCCTATACACTCACACACGCACACACACACACACAACACACACGAGAGCATTGTACATACACACATGCACACATGTGCACCCATACACACACAACACATGAATATACACAAACAGGTAACACACACATACACATAAGAAAAAGAAATGAAAAGAAAAGGTGCCATTACTAGTGAAAAAGGGAGGAAAGGGTATTGAGAGGCAAATTACGGTCTGTGTTTCAGGTTACTATATGATTTAGTTTCTATTCAAGGCAGAAGAGTAGCTGCCTAGACTTTCAAATCTCTTTCAGGCCCAGCGAAGATTCAGTAATTCTATGTTTATCTGCATTCTCACCTGATGAATGAATTATAGTTTGGCAGAAACATTAGCTTCATAGAACAGTGTCCAGGAACTTGGAAATGTCAGGCTGACTGGGAAGTCAATACTCCATCTCGGCTTTCTAACATTTTGCTAAGCTGTCAAATGTCTGTTAGGTTTTTGGCATGTTATCCCTGTGCAATGACTAGGTTCTTAACCATGTTTATGAACTTATAGTCTTTTACATTTATTTCATGTATGTGCATCATCTGTGTGTGTGCCCGGGCACACCTGTGCAGGTCTGAGGACACCTGGCAGAAATCAGTTCGCTTCTTCCTCCACATGGGCCTTCAGGGGATTGAACCTATGCCGTCAGGCTTGGCAGCAAGTTTGTTTACTCATTGAACCGTTGCTCAAGTCTCAGTCTTATTTTTTTACATGAATTTCTCCCTCTCTTTATCTTTGAGTGCTGAAGGTACAGTTTAGAGCTCCTTGTTGCTTCAGACATTGCTTCAATTTCCCCCTCACTATGTTGTCTCCAAACCTTTTGAAACAAAGTTGAGGGAACAGTTAATTGCCTTCCCATTTACACTGCAAATGTTGGGCCGCCTGTTAGAAGCATTCATTATAAACTGTCTCAGAAAGAACTCGACAGAGAATTATACAAAATGTCCTCTTTTATCTTGAGTAATTATGCATGAAAAAATGCCAAAGAGATAATTTATAGACTGTGTTGTTAATACTAAAGAGATCTCTTTTGCTTTTTTTTTTTTTTTCATTTTAGCAATGGGTAAACTTGTCTATGACTTATTATGTGTTATTCTTCATCCCTTGGGTTTTCTATGTGTCCTTGTTCTTTTTTGAGATGAACCTGGTCCTTCTCCATCCGTACATAAAAAAGTTCCCCAAAGTGAGCCAGAACTTTGGCTTTTAATATAATGGATCCAGAACAAGACTGGACGAGTGTTGACTCATGCCATCTTCATGTTCATTTCCTGGGCCTGGCACTCTAGCTAAATTAAAGCTCTTGGATATTGCTACCCTGTCAAATGTCAGTAACCTCCAGAGGCAGCTGTAAATAATAGCATGGAACCTTGATGAGAAGCAAGACCCAATCAGGATTTGGGGGAGGATACCAAACATGAAAAAGAATGTTGTTGTTTGTTTTTAAATTTTTTAAAAGACAGTAAGAATAGAGTAAGATGATATGATGGGCCAAGAAAGAATTAGAAGAGAAATAAAATTAGGATAGTTTTGAAAGAGTGTGAGAGGCATGGCACAGGATGGAATGTGGGAACCTTGCAGACACCAGCTCATAATCTACCCTGGCAGAGAACTTCCAGAGCATGAGGGCACTATTTTAGCATTTTCAATGTGGTCTGCATTCTTCTTGGCACTGTGGATTTGTTCCTGAAGGACTGTGAGAAAAAAAAGACTGCACAAAGAGCCATGAACTCAGACACAGTTCAAACTAGAACATTTAGGGATGGCTCTTCACAATGGCAATTAAGTGGCATTAGAAAGCCAACCCCTACACCCTCTTTGGGGCAGGGCACACATGGGAAATCAAATCCTACTAGTGATACATGATCCTGCGTGGGATATGCGTGGCTGGGGAACTGGGCCTGATTATACACTGTATGGAGGTCTGCCAGGTGTGAAGAACTGCGTGCCTGGCAGCTTGTGAACTCTGATGCAGTCTCCCTCTGTGTTTTCTAGAGTCTCTGAAGACCCCATCCAGCTCTCCAATGGCCAGCAACAATACTGCCAGCATAGCACAAGCCAGGAAGCTGGTAGAACAGCTGAAGATGGAAGCCAACATCGACAGGATAAAGGTGAGGATGGCACATTCTGTAGCTCATCTAGCTTGAGTAAGGAGCAAATGTCTTGTAGTCAACTGCCATTTGACTGGTTTTCCATAGAGATGGATATTATCAGAAAGGAACTAATGACTTCACTGATACTCGTTTCTCTGAGGTATCTTTGCTTTTTTGAAGATTTCCCTGTGTAAAATGATATGCATAGAAGTGGACTCCCTATGTTGAATCAGAAACAAGGTGGGTGGTGGTGGCACATGCCTCTAATCCCAGCCTTTGGGAGGTAAAGCCCAGCCTGATCTACAGAGTGAGTTCTAGGACAGTCAGGGCTACAGAAAGAAAACCTGTATCAAAGAACCTAAGGGTGTGGGGGGATACAAGAAGGAGGGAAGGAAGGAAGAAAGAAAGAAAGAAAGAAAGAAAGAAAGGAAAGAAAGAAAGAAAGAAAGAAAGAAAGAAAGAAAGAAAGAAAGAAAGAAAGAAAGGGGCCTCGGCTGAGTTCCAGCCAAGGAAACCAGAGAGCACATGAGCTGCCAGTCTGCTAGCCACGTCCCAGACCAGTGAAGCCCTTTTTCTCATTTTGAGTTCTAACTTTTTCTGTCCCACTCAACGACTAAGAGTAAGTGTTGATTTTACGAGTCTAATCTGTTTTATGCATTCATCACTGACAATTCTTTCATCTTTCTATCTTAATGGATTTTTTTTTTCTTCAGAGCACAATTAGTCACACTTGCGGCCTAGGTCAATGCTCAGGGAGTGAAGTGCCTTCTGTGTGAGCATGGAGGCTTGAGTTTGGATCTCTAGGACTGCCACAAAAAGTCAAGTTTGGGGGCCTGCAAGATGGCTCAGTGGTAAAGCTTCTTGCAAGCTCGACAATTTGAACCCACATAGTAGAAGGAGAGAACTTAACCCCTCTGACCTCTGCATACTGTGGCACACACACCATGTGCATCACACACACCATAACACACAGCACATACACACACCACAATACCATAACCACACATGGTACACACCACATGAACCACATACACCACACACCACAGATCACACACACACACACATGGGAGAGGGGTGCTGTAAATAAATGATACAAAAAGAAAAACACCAGATGTGGCAGCACACAGAAACAGGCAGATCTCATGGACTCACCAGCCTGGCAGTTAACTGCAAGCTCCAGATTCAGTGAGTGACCCTGTCTCAAAAAATAAGTGTGATAGAATAGTGATAGAATAGAGGAAGACATCTGGCCTTCACCGCCAGCCTCCACGTGCATGTACACAAAGTCATACTTGGTCTCTCCTAAAAAAAAAATCAAACAGCAAAACAACCTGGAGGTGACATCAGCTCCATAACAAGACCAACAGAGCCAACTAACCAGGGTCCAGATGGGCTTGCTGAGACTGAAGCATCAACCAAGGACCATGCGCCAACTGGACCTAGGCCCCCTACAAAGATATAGTAGATAGGCAGCTTATGTCTCATGTGGGCCCCCTAGTAAGGGAAGTGGAGACTGCCTTAAACATGGACTCACTTGCCAGCTTTTTGGTCTCTTTCCTCTGGCAGGACTGCCTCAATAGGCCACAGGGGAAGAGGACATTCTCAGTCCTGATGCAACTTGATGAGCTGGGCTGAATGGGAAAGGCAGCTCCCCTTTTCTGAGGAATAGGCGAGGGTGGAGGGAGAAGAAAGGAGGGTGGGGCTGGGAGGGGCGGAGGGATGGGGCTACAACCAGGATGTAAAGTGAATAAAAAAATTAATTCATTAAAAATCAAACGGCGCAGACGTTTAACGAGGGCGAGTAGTCTGCTTTTTCTTTCGTGCCCCAGACTTAACCTGTGAGCTTAAGGTTGAAGTCACAGTTTTTGCTCTGACCCTTTGTCTGGCATATTTTGACTGTGAAGCCAGCCCCACTATGTCATTATGAGTAGGCAGCTATTATAGGATGGATTACTGGTAAGGTAAATTTTTGTCAGTCATCACAATTTGACTTCCTTAGAAGCACTTTAGGAAATGGAATTCAGAAACAGATCTCATTGCACTAAAATTAAAATAGAACATTATTCCAAGTGCCTTTTTTAAAAACTACAGTATTTTTCTACTTTTTTTTTTCTCTACATCTTAAAAAAATCAGATCATTCAGTGGATGAATTGGGGTGTGCAGTAGACAACAAAATGAGGCTCAGGACCACAGTTTTTATAAATAAAGTCTTATTGGAACATAAGTATACTCGCTCACTTACATTTGTGTATGGCCCCATTCATACTTCAACCACAGAACAGAGGTGTAACAGGGATCTCAGAGCCCACAAAACTGAAATTATGACCTTTTGTGCATTTATAAAATGAGTTTCTGGCTTCCGGTTTAGAGCAGTTGTCCGCAGCCCGTCACCCAAAGAGCTCTATAAACCCCCATTCCAGAACCATACCAAAGGAAAGGCAATTAAATTAGGATCTTTTGTGTTCAAGATTCAGGCATCAGTATTTTTTTTTTTTTTTAATCTTCAGTTAATTCCATAGCCACAGTTATGAACTGCTACCTCAGGGCAGGAGATTTGAACCTTCTCACCACCACCTGCTCAGCCCTGGAGAGTGGAGGGGAGCCCATCCACCTTCATAAAGAAGCTAGGCGAACATCCAGGGACACTTTCCCATCCACTAGAAACTTCTTTTGTAAACTCAGACTTCTGGCGGAGGACCTCACCATCACCGGATTCTGCCCTGTTTTCTGTGGCGTTTATTCTTCCTTGCTTGTAAATGAGTTAAGGGCTCCTTCCCAAGTATTTTCTTCCTCTGTCACTTTCTGGCTTCTCCTCCTTTGTTGCTTCTTAGTTTATTTTTTGTTTGTTTGTTTGTTTGTTTGTTTGTTTTTTTCATTCCCTTACTGAAAAGGTGCAAATACACTGGTGGGCATTTTGACTGCTAGGAGAAGGGAATGCCCCAGGGACTGCTGGACCACAGAGAGACTCTCTTTTTCATTATGAGGGATGGAGGGGGCTCCAACAATCACCCTGAGAAATAGTGGTTTTGTCCTCTCTAAGAAGCTCTGCTGTGGTCAGCATTCCTGCCTCCTCAGAATTCCCAGACACTGGTCCTGAAGGAGGGTGTGATATACTCATGGGGGATAAACATGACAACAGTACAGGGTGATGACAAGACCTCTTCAGCCAGGCCATCCTTTCCTTGAATCCCTGGTGGCAATGGTTCCTGCCTGATCCCTGCAGTCTACTTCAACCCACTTCCACCAAGCTGTCAGTTACCTGTCACTCTGCTGCCAAAGAAAACTTTCCAGAGGAAAATTTCATCATGTTCTTCTCCCACTGAAAATGTTATTATGCCACAGCTCCCCAGCCCTTATACAATGAATCTCAAACTCTTTAATGGAACTTATGGAGTTCTCCTGAACATCTCTTCAACTTTATTCCCTTTCTCTTGCTCACACTGGTCATATCAACCACTTTCTATTCCCTTGAAAGGAACTTCAAATGCCTTGAACATCCTCTATCCTGCATTCTTGCCTTCACCTTTTCACTTTACTAACAGGGTGTGGGGCAGACTCCCTGAGGCTTCAGACCAATCATTAGTTCCCAAAGATGCTTTTCAGGACCCTGCCTGTGAGGTTGGATTTTTCATCTGCCCATTTATTCATCTATTTGTCAATAAAATAAATATTTTATTGAGATTTTTATGTTGCCAGCACTTGTTAGGTCCCTCAGCAATGTGTGAGGTAGTGAGGGGTTACAAAAGATATGAACAAAACCTGCTATCAGAATAGAAGCAAAAGTATCCAGGAAGCATAGTTACCAAAGATGTCAAAGCCAACTCCTGATTGCCCTCTGAAGAGAAATAAATAAATAGCTACTGAGAGAGTATATGCAAATACAAGGGTTAGCCCAAAAACCATGCCCTAAGTGGCTGCTTCCCATGGTCTTCACTGTCACATCTCTGAACCCTTCTTCATGTCATCAGACATTCCTCTGAAGAAGTACAGCAGCAGCCTGTACTCTGGCATTTGCTCTGCACCGCACAATCAGGCAGGTATGCTGTGGTGAAGTTACAGGCTATTTTTAGTTCCACTGTTGGGTAAAACTGTTGCCACCGTTGTCAGCTAACTGGTTATCTGCTTTCAGGGGTCCTTCAAGGGCTCCAGGACTTCCAGCTGCCCCACCTATTTTCTAGGCATCAGCTTTTCAGCAAGAGTGAACTTTTGTTTTGTTTTTTGAGACAAGGTTTCTCTGTATAGTACTGGCTGTTCTGGAACTCACTCTGTAGACCAGGCTGGCCTTGAACTCAGAGAGATCTGACTGCCTCTGCCTCCTGAGTACTGGTATTAAAGGAGTGTGCTGCCATCACTACCCAGCTAAGAGGGGACTGTTTTTGGAAGATGCCAGGCTTATGGTGTTCCAGTTACAATGGTAGCCTCATCGTATGACAGCTTAGTGTGCATCTGGAAGAGCCAGCTGTAGCTAAGGTGACCTTAGTAGCTGGGTGCAGCTGCTGCTGGAGCTTCTAAAGGTCCCACAAGCAAGAGGTAGCTTGTCCCTTAGGTAGCCTCCAAAGTAGCCCAACCTGCTCTATTGGACCCAAATAACACTTTTTATTTTGAAATTTTCTAGTCTTCCAGCCATTGTATCATGTCCTGGTAGGTTCGGACTAATGAAACTCTTCTCTGGTCATAAGAGCAGGCATGACACTTCCAGCCTGTCCCTGTTTCTTTGTTAGCATTGCTTCAAGGATAAGGAATAAAAGCCAGGGAGCCACAGTAAAGGAGTAGAGAGGGATTGTGAACAGTGACCCTCAGATTTCTAATGCAGGAGATAGATAAACACTAACAGTGAAAGAGGAGAAAATTTAGGTACAGGTGGGGGGGTCTGTACAGAAGCAGAGGACAGCAGGGTCTCAGGAAATACTTTACTATCACCGTATTAAGACGCTGTGGAGCCAGGTGTGGTGGCACACACCTTTAATCCCAGCACTCAGGAAGGCAGAGGCAGGCAGATCTCTGTGACTTTGAGGCC